CGTGTAACGTAAGAGAGCTGGTATTTATTTCGCACGTACAGCTGAAACGTTTTTCCTATTTATTTTTTTGGTTCTTCGTGAAATATAAATCATACCGGAACAAAGAATAATTAGCAGCACGGCAGGATATTGTGTTCGCAATGCGAATGTAAGGCACGACCCGATCATCTTAATTAGTAGCTTCATTCCGATTAAACGCTCTGAAAACATGCAGAACAATGAGTGAATGCATTTCGCTTTCTCGATTGCCAATTGTAAAATCGAAACTGTATTGCATTCTAATTGCGACGTTTAATGGACGTGCCAGATGGTTTTATAGAAATTTGACACGAATCTATCTTCGATTAATGCTCATCTAAGTATCGTTGACCTCTTTTCCTTGCTTTTATTGTGGATAATAGTGCTGTAACTTTCACGACATCACTTAATTAGCAATTAGAAATTCAAGCGTAATTTACAAATCCGAAATTTTTGCAACTCAATTTGTGTTAAACAGAAATTAGATCATCATTAGTACATTTTATAAATACTAAATGGCAGATGCGGCTCATTTGATAAAAAAATACGGCTCTAGACTCTTTTTTAACAGATAAGTGGCTTTATGCATTAAAAAGGTTGCAAGGTTCAACTATAATTGTAATGGGATTTCTTTCCTCCAAAATATAGCTCCCACTTCTTACAGTGGTGGTTACAGTGGAAAATTTGTGAGGCTCCCTAGACTTTTTTTAACAGACAAGTGGCTCTTTGCTTCAAATAGGATGCCGATATGCTGCAAAGTTCCACTGCAATGGGGTTCCTTCATATATTTTGTACAAAAGTAATACATCAATAATATTGAAATATGCTAACAAAAATAAAATAAATACATAGGGATAATTCTCATTATTAATAATAATGACAAAAGATATTGATCTTTCCGCCCATTATTATAATATTTTATCTAATAATCATAATCAATATCAAACCTGCTAATAAATTATAATATATTTGTCTTTAGATTTTAGTTGATTTGAAAGCAATGTATTATGAAACTATCAGTATATAGATTGAACTATTCAGCATTCCAGAAACCTTGAATTAGAAACCTTTTAAATATTTCTATCCGACATTTTTATTTTATTGAGATTCGAATACTGAACAGTTTCTCAGGAAACAATCTATAAGGATTTACTACTGCCTCGAAAAATGTTGATCAAAGCTAAAGACATGGGTAAGAGGAAGCAATTTATAGCGAAAGTTACCTGACTCGAGGATTGATTATTGAGCAGAAAACTCCAGACTTATGTCGGATAAAAATAAAACATTCTAATATTTTCATTAAAATGAGTAGATAGTAGTGAAAGTATTGATTAAATGAATATATTCTGCAAAATACATAATTCGTAAAATTGTTAAAAAAAAACAGATATCATAATAACAAATGGGAATGGATACTGAACACTTTTAATTTTAATTGAAATGTAAATTGAACGTGTGTAATTTATGTTGGACATTATCATTATACGATGTGTTTGTAATGTGCATGTTTTAGTTTACAATGAGAGCGAGAGTGAATGAACGAAAGGGGGGAATGAAAAATTTATCGTCCGAAGGGCACCATTAATCCTAATTATTTTAATGCCATTTAATCTGCAGATTAGCGGCGGCATTTACGAACATCGGGATTACGTTAGATAATCTAAAAATAGAATCACCGCTACTCGGTTTTGATACCTTCCGTTTCGCATCATTTATAATTGTAACAAAAAAAAAGGATTATAAAAATAATTTAGTTTAATCTGAGTTTATCGATTGATTATATTTTAAATACAATAAGTTTATATGTATGTGGAAAAGACACAATAATAATAAACGTATATTTGACAAAAGTCCGAAATTCGACAGTATTTTAGTTAAATTAAAATAAACAAAAAAAATACATGATTTAACTATTTTTCCAGTATTTTCAACCATATTTTCAATAATAGTTAAATAGTTAAGTAAAAGTTTGTTCAAGTCAAAAACTTTCTACCCATTTTTTTTATATTTTTAGCACTTGCTTGTTTTTTTTTTGTTAAATATAAAAGTTATACAAAATTGAATATATTATAAAAAAGCAAAAAATATTATGATTCCTCGAAAGGAATAATAATGACAATAACCGTGAAAACTTTCTATTCTACTTTATTTATTTTAAATTTGTTATTGCACATGGACATAACTGCGGTCAATCTTACTGTTTGCTTTTCTTCGTGTTTGGATAAATATTGAATTTGTATGTAAATTTATTCGAGATTTGGAGAAGGTACGAAGAAAAAGGCAATCCAATGCATGTAGAATTAGTTGAAGTTACTGTACGGACTCGAAATTCGCTTCGAGATGGAACGAATCAACAAGGAATTGAAGAGAGAGACAGTGTGTAAGACAGGTTGAGGACGGTAACGTTGGGAAATCTCATTTCCATTGTTATTATGTGATATCGAGTACAGAAATTTTATTTGAAATTCAAATGCTAATGGAAGATTTACCGTTCTGTTTTTAATAGAAAACAAAATAAAGACAGAATTTAATCAATACGGAATTTTTAGATTCAAGATATAATAGAACTTATTACTTTTATAGTTTTTTATCGACATAAACACTATGATAATATTTTAATGTAATTAGTCTCATACTTATAATTATTTATTTTTATATAGTAAATATTATTGTAAAACTATAGTAAATGTTTTTGTAAAACTATATATTAATGAGATTTCAGACTTACGAACTAGTTCCTTTGAAAAAGGTTGTTCGTAAATCGGGGGAATTTAAAAAAAATCGAAATGTACTTATCTGACCACACTTTATCATGGTTTTTACTTTTATATATGTTAAATTCCTTATTAATGACTGCATACATTTGAAAATATAGATTAAAATAAACAAAATACTTACTTGCAAATACTTTTCAATGTAGACATCACTATTATTTCATAATAAATGGCAAAATAAACAAATGTAACAAAACAGATAATACATCTTTCAAAAATATTATATTTTATTAAAGAAATTATCAATTTTTGTGTGGACAGATTTTTTTTATCACTGTAACATGTTAGAGCTTATAGAATTTTATTCGTAATTCCGGGAGTTCTTAAGTCGGGGGATACCTGTATACTGTGACACAACTGTCATTTGAATACACCTGATTTGACAGGTGTACTACTAGAAATACTAGTATACATTTGACATTAGTTAAATAACAATTGAACTAATGTCAAATGTATATTTTGTACACCTGATTTGATAATAATGTCTCATATAAGATATACCGCAATACATGTAAGATCCACAATATGCATGACTTGAAATTTGACACAACTGTCATGACAATAGTTGGTACGCTTGAATTTGACATTTCTCTTATATCAGATACTTTATCAATTATATTTTACATAAACAAAACAAATATATTAATAATCTTTAATAATTAAAACATTTCCCAAATTTCCAATCAATGGTATTTCCAATAAAAGAATTTTATTCAAATATTTTTCACAAAGCTTTGTTCCACTTTTTTGCATAACCCATTTTTTTTTATCTTTAAAACGAAACGCCAATATATCATTAACAATTTTTTTCGGGCTTGTTCGCTAAATTAAATTTCAATGGTGAAATCGTTGGACCTTTTTCATTAGTTATTTGTTTATTTATTTGCGCCTAGTTTGCAACTGCTTTTTTTTCTCTCACGATAATAAATTCAATTACCGGAATTTCCAATTATAGTTTTTTTTTGCAATACGTGTCTACTACCGACACAGGGATGGAATTCGTTTGTGCGTCCTAAATGAAATCTGGTATTCTAAAAAAACTTTTTATTTTTTTAATAACAATAGTAATTTCCGTGTATGGATTAAATTGTTTAATCATCAAGAATGAAAATAATTGTATTTATTAAGTAATAATAATTTATTATTAACAATGTTGTGAAAAAACAGTGAAACAAATTATTTTAAAATAATAATTAATTAAATAATTACTTTATATTGTTATTTATTTTGTCTATCGATTAATCTACCTTTTAATATGAAAAAAAAATAAAGAAAAACTAACGAATCGATTATTAATTTATTTACATAAACTTGAAACCAAATCAATAAGATAATACCTCTACTCTACAAAGTAATATATTCAGGAATACATTTTAATACAATATTTACCTAAAATTATGCAGATTAAAAACGAATTAAGACTAGCTTAAGTAAAGTCTATTGACTTATAACTACATATTTTAATTACCTAAGGTGATATGTTTGTTTAAGTATTAAAATTATATAAATATATTATATTTTTTATATTTGCATGTGAGATTTATTTGTTACAACTTTACATTTTATGTACTTATAATTTTAATCGTAACTGAATCGAAATATACCGATCTTATAAAAATTTACAATATATCATATAATTCCCAGAAGTAATTGTAAATGTGCTTTATCATCATAGAAATGTATGGTTCAATGTATATTACTATTGTATTCACGTATCGTTCAGTGACAACATTAATAGTGAATGACTTTGGATGACAAGCAAATAAATATTTACAGAACAATTCGAATGATAAAACTAGTTGCAGTACGTAAATTTTTATTAAAATAATTGAAATAGAATATTTGTACTACCCACATCAGTTGCGGAAATTATATTGAAAAAAAAAATTAACTGTAAAATTGTATCGGAACATTTATTATAGTTGCGCATAAACAAATGAATTGTTTGAAGGTAAATTGTTAATAATACTGTACTTTCAATTACACGCACGCATTGCAATCGCTGCGTGTGTCTGTGAGGAGAATTCAATAAATCCATGTATGCCTACATGCGTTTTAATTAATACGAGTATAAAACCCCCACACACATAACACACGAACAATTCCAATAATAAACAAGCGATAATGCCCTGTCGACATCAATTCGACCACACGATTCCATATCACCGCAGAACTGCAGAGAAATAATTGAATTTGTATCTGTTTCAGATTTCCTCGTCCACGCTCGTCCTTCCAAGGATCGCACGGTATTATGTGAACAGCCGGATTGTAGAAAAGTGCGCGCGCGTTCCTCCAAAAACAAACATTCGTAAAACCAATCCACCTCCCCTTTCATCGTGTTTCAAATTTAATATGGACGCTGGTTGTGAAAAGATAAATTAATTACTCTGAAGATATATATCTCTGTTTGTACATCTAAATATATCTTTCGCGTTGGCTTTCGCTTCGTTGGAGGGCACACAGACAGACGACGACGACGACATGGAGACCGAGGAACTTATTAAGCTCGTCGATGGCATCTACAAAGTAAGTTTACTCATTCTTTTATGTTACGAACTAATTGCGTAAGTCAAATCATTAATCACTCAATTGGAATTACATCGAAATCAGCAGTAAAACGTATCTGATGATGTTTTTGTGAAGGGGAATACGACGTCTTTGAACTCACTGGCAATCGTAAACCCGACAATCAAAATCCCGACAGTTTCAAAATCCCGACAACCATTATGACGAAAGTATAAATGTTGTTAAAGTTTATTACAATTAAGTCAATGCAAACAAATTCAATAATAATATATTATTATTAACAATAAATAACAATTAATAATCTAGTTGCATTTTAGATTATTTCTTATTGTTAGGGTCTATTATGTATAAGTTTTTATCAACCAATAAAATATACTGCCGGGATTTTGATATTGTCGGGATTTCGATATAAACCCCTTTGACTATGACTATACAGTAAAACCTCGTTTTACGTTAATCGAGGAATTTTTACCTCGATTAACGCCAATTCGGTATTGCGCCTATAAAAGGTATACATTTATATATTTACTATATGTTAATAATGCATAAAGACTTAACAAGTATGAATTAAAACAATATTATTCTTCAAATTTAATTCATTTTTTTATTAAGAAACTGTTATATCCTCAATTTTAATTATTTTTTTCTTAGGAAACGAAAACGTGCTTTGTTTTATTTTATAATCATGTTTATATTTGTTTCAAACACATTAATTTGCTCTAAATTAGTTTAATTAATTGTAAATTGAAATAACAGAACATGTCAGTTATAATGAAATTAAACAAATAATAATTATCTAAAAATATACTATTTATATTTAATAGTATTATAATAAAAACTCGGTAATAGTATACTTCATTTTAAACTATGATGAAATATTCATATATCTCATTACAAAGGAAAATGGAGATAACAAAGGAGTAGTCAGTTATATTTAAGAATACTAATATTAAGCATTTACATATATTTTATAATCAAAATTATTTTAAATGTATCAATTATATCATCTATTTCATCACAAAATTTATCTCCAAATATTTTTTAAAATAAAAATTTTAGGTGATCCAAAATTATGCAACTCTTTACTACATATTTTTTTTATTTTCCCCACTTTTACTTTCGTGATTTGTATATTGTATTATAAAATATTAGAGTTTATTTCAAGAAAAGGGTGTATTTATTACGAAACCCTTAGGAAACCAATTCCAGGAAGGAATTCGAGCATGATGCCACGGCGATTCCAGTCCATCCTTTGAATTTTTTACATTGTCGTTTTACGGCCATTCCTTGCGTTGTAAGTCTCTCCGGTGACAATTTTTCGTGTACGTAATAAATGTAGAATAAATCCAGTACTGGGCGGATTATCTTTACAGTTTCGTTCTTTATGCGTTCGTTGATTTATTAAATAATATAATTCACGTGAAGAGAAAGAGTTGACGGTTATTATGAGAGTGGAAATAAATGTATGGGTTTCATGCGGTGGATTTATGTGTAGGGCATCCGCACATCCGTGGCCTCCTTTATTTTGCAGAACCAAAATTTTGCTCTTCAGGTGTAATTAATATTAAGCGAAACGAGCCTAAGCTGTAACTTTAAGCGAAAAAGTTTTAATGATATCTAAATTAAGAAAGTCTCGCCAGAAATTATAAATGTAACAAAAAAAAAAGTTTACAATTTTTTTGGTTTGCCGTAAGGAAAAATTATAATTGTATTTTATATTGTATTCATTATTTATGCCAGTGTAGAAATTATAACATAACAAACAAAAAGTTTACAATTTTTTTTTGGTTTTGTCTCGTACGGGAAATTCTTTCATTCATGCGAATACAGAAATTATAATTTATATCAACTATAGGGTCGGCACCATTATTTCAGATGTATTGGTTTCGCGCGAAGGGACTGAAGGGAAGAACGAATACGAAATAGAAAATAAAGCCATAACTCAGATAGAAAGTCGCTTTAATAAAATGGAAATTCAATTACGGTTATGACAATTCAGAAGAAAAATTTATAGTAATAAAATGCATCAGATACAAAACGTGGACTGGAAAGAGGAAGGTGAGCTGCTCTTCTCCGCAAGAACGTCGCTCCCGCACAACTTTCCAGACTCTCTCTTATTTTATAAGTCAAGATTTAATGCAGAATGGTAAATATTTTATAAAGAAAAAGATTGAGGAAATATTTTTCAGTATTTTTTTTAAAATTTTAACTAGCATTGTTACAATTCAAATTCTTATGTAGTACATATCCATAATATTTCAATATTTTAATTCGGATAGTGCGGCTTTGATTAGTCCTGATTCATTATAGTCCGGTTTGTAAATTTAAAAACAATCTAAATTCGAATTTTTGATACACGCATTATTGACTTTTTCCCTTTATTCAGTTTAGTCTCTTTTTGTGCAGTTTATGTTAATATATATTTAGTTCCTAGATTAATCCGATTTCAAACAGTCCCAGTTATTGTCGGAACTGATTAACAGAACTATAAGATATATTACTCTATTTGGTATTGATTAATTGTCAAGTCAACCTTTAGACTTGATTGGTGGGAAATATTCAAATGTAAATTTGTAGTGCAATTTGCCATACATTTAGAAATTAATAAAATAGATATTTTCAAAATTTCAGCATCTTGATTATGTCTAGTGTCATAACATAAGGGAGAGTTGCCGAATTTGGACCGCAGTTTAGATTACTTACATGACTTGAGCTATATAGAGAATCTGCAGCGACAGAAAACAAATGTAGGTTCATTAGGCATAATAAAAGTATCGTCATTGAACAGTTGCCTAAATTGGACTTGTTAAATTCAAGAAAAATTAATGCAACTGGTAGAAATGTATCAAATAGATATTTTCAAAATTTCAGCATCTCAGAAACCCAAAATGAAATATCTTAGTGTCACACCTTGTATATTTATACCACGATAATAAAAAAAAAACTATAAATTATATTATACGAAAATTAAATTTATAGTTGAAGAAAAATTGTTATTCATCTCATCAAAATATGTCTGCATACATAAGATAAGGATAGAACTCACGTCTAAATATGGAATAATTTCTCAATATATCTGCGAGATTTTTCTCTTGCACGGCGGAAGTTTTCATTACTTCTCTAATATTAGCATGTTAAATATTTGTCGTTGCATAATCATTTGGGGCTGTATAAGGGATGGAAATTGGGAAAAGCGCGCGCGAGCGATTTGCATAAACAGCGCTTCAATTACCATATTAAAAGTTCCAATTTATGATTATTAATTTTCATTTCTCTCCCACGTCTGGGGAAAACACAAGGAAAATAACAACAAAACGAACCAAACGTTCTCCGTACCAAAAGTCAAGTCACTATCGCTGAAATTATCATGAATTGTGCGAACGTTAGTACAATTACATTTACCGCAATGAATTTAAAATGTAGAATTTTAATTGCTTCTAAGAAATCTTTTAGGTTTTATTGTAACTTTATTTACAAACTACATAATAACAAATGATAAAGATAAATTTTGAAATAATTCAATATTAACGAAAGTATGATATTCCATTACGTACTTTCAACTACCAATTAATTGTTAGTGTTCATATCAATTTTATTACTATTTCTAAATATTTAGTATTCTGTATTATTCTCGTGGTCAACTCATTTTTTTTACTACATATAGAATAATGCTTCTTTTTTATATGTTGACATTGGTTGTATAAATCGATAATTAGTAATTAAAATTTTGTTGCACTATAAGTATAGCAATCTTATAAGTAAGATTGCTATAAAAAAGCAACATCTTATAAACTAACAAATGTATGGTTTATTTATAAGAAATTTGTACATGTTTCACAATTATAGCATCAAATAATACTGCGTTACATTGTTTCTTAAGTGAAAAGGGTTTTCCTCAGGTGCATTAAAACAAAGCCTCCACTTCATAAGTACTTAATACGATTTTGCGCATAAAGCTTTTCATTGGACCGCTGCATATTTAATGTATTTATTGGAGGTGGCGTTTTTGCAAATGGAACTTTTAGAATAAAGATCCATACTGCAAGTTCCATAATCAAATATTCTAGAATTCATAATCCGCAGTCTAGACGAGCTTTTAATGTACTTTCTGGCTATACCAATATTTTACTGCATTGCAATTATTTTTTATTTGCTGCATTCATGTTTTTTTGTATGCACATTTGTTACGTAGAACGTGGAATAGCATTTGCGGTCTCGATTGGCATTGCTTATTTGGATCATAGAGCGCAGAGGGGCGAACATGTTGGCCAAAAATGATTCGCGCACGAGTAAATTCCGAGAACGATTTACAAATTGCGGCTGAATATATTTGGGAGGTTCATCTTCTCGAATAGAGACGTGGGAATGGAGAGGACGTGATCTCGGCAAGAAGGCGATTTCGATGATTATTATACGATTGAATTATTTATGGAGTATTGGAATTTTTCGCGAAGGTGATTGCATTAATATCGTGGAGAGAACCATTATTGGAAACCTGCAGTAAAACGCTTATTATGTCAGAAGTCTATTTATTGCTATTGCAACACCCTGCAACACTGATGGTAACAACAGAGGAGTTTCCTGAGATGCGGGTAGATTCTCCAATTTTACTGCCAACCATTTTACATTTCTTTTTATTGCCCATTACCTGTGAGCAGTTTTCATTTCACCTTAATTAAATTAAAATATCTTTCGAGCTGCTTCCACATTGAGAGTCTTCCATTCCATTCCAACCAGCCTCGACGGTCTTACGTAACAGCGCTCGAAAGGAAAGTGCAAATGATTTTTGCAAATACTTTGCGCACGCTGCGATCGTTGCCCAACGAGAATTGTCTGTGCTTTTTCTTTCTCTTTCTTTTATTTTAGACACATATCTTCGAGAATGCCTTCGGTTCTTTTTCCTCCCTCCCTCCCATCTGACACATTGGCATTTTGTATTTGAACCCAGAGATCGATTTAGGCCATCAGTATTTTGTTTGTAAAGATTATCGACGCATTAG